GCCATCATGGCTACCTCCACAGTTCTTTCGACGCTGCCAACGGCCGTAACTACCGCGGTATCGACAGCGTCCATATCGGGATCTGTGTTATCAACGATATCAACCGCCTTAGCGTCGACAATCACATCGTCAGCGAGTTTAACATCTTCTTCGAGTAGCTCGACATCATCGAGGGTGCTTACTACAACAACAAGCGTCCCTCCCAAGCAAGTACCCAACACCGACGCAGCGGGCTCAGCCCAAAAGTTTGGAGGCATCAGTCTTGTGGCTTTTCTTACTGCCTTGGCTACTTCGTTGGTCGTTTTTGGCGTCCAGATGGGACTGTTCTTGCTCCTACGACATAAGCTAGCCAGGATCTTGTAAGTACCAATCACCTTGCAGCCCAGACTGGTTCCTACTAACAATGTTGCGCAACAGTAAACCCAAAACCTACCTCGTCCCCGAACGCGAAAGAACAGAACCTCCACCTGCGAGTCCATGGAACCTACTATCTACCGTGCTCAGATACAACGACCGTGAAATCATCAAGAAATGCGGTCTCGATGCATACTTCTTCCTCCGATACCTCCAGACTCTGCTGGTCCTGTTCATTCCCATCGCCATTGTCGTCATTCCCATCCTGATACCTATCAATTACGTTGGGGGACTCGGCCACCAGGTTGTTGACACCAACACCACGGATACAGAGGACTCTGACGTACCCACGGGCTTGGATACATTGGCCTGGGGCAATGTTCGTCCAGAACACTACCGCCGACGCTGGGCCCATCTGATTCTAGCTCTTCTCGTCATAATCTGGGTCTGTGGCGTCTTCTTCGCCGAACTCCGCGTATACGTCAAAATCCGCCAGGACTATCTCACCAGTGCCGAACATCGATTGCGCGCATCTGCCAACACAGTCCTCGTGAGCTCGATTCCTGACAAGTGGCTCACCGAGGATGCTTTGCGGGGCTTATTCGACGTCTTCCCTGGCGGCATTAGAAATGTCTGGCTGACACGGGACTTTACCAAACTTCTCGAAAAGATTCACAGGCGTGATGCAATCCATGTGCAGCTGGAAGAAGCCGAGACAGAACTGATCCGCGAGGCAAAGCGAAGACAGTTGAAACAAAGGAGTCTGGAGGAGAAGAGGATCCGCAAAGCTCATCAGGTCAAGGCAGAATCGAAGAAGGAACGGAAACATCGTGCAAAAGCCGAGGACGATGAGGCTAAACGACGCGCCGAGGACAACGGAGGCTTAAGTGTAGGGGACGACGATTCGGTGCCGCGTGACGTTGCGACGGCTGTCCACGGGGGAGAGAAACCGGAGGGTAAGGGACTGGGCGATATCCAAGAGGGCGAAAGCGAAGGGTCTCCGCATCACGGCCCGCGGGGCGCGAACGGCCTCTTCAAAGTAGGCGAAAACCTAGGAAGAGGACTCAGAAAGGGAGTTGGTTTTGTTGAAGAAACCGGGCACAACATTCTTGTCCTTCCCAAAGCTCTTCAACAGAATGTCGAAGGGGAGTTGGAGCGTACAGGCGGCTTTGACTTCATCAAAGACGGACCACAATCATCGCCGACAAGCTCTACAAGCTCCGAATACGACTCCAAACTACATCCAGGAGACGACGATGCACAACCTAAACCGTCGTTTGCATCAGAGACTCCGTTGCAAGCATCTCAAGCTCGCCACGCCCATACCCTCTCTGAAGCCACCCAAGCTTCGACGCTGCAGAAAGGGTCGGATACACGAACAATAGGTAACACCACTCGCAAAGTCTCAAATGTGAATGATATGTACATCACTGAGAAGACCAGGTGGTACGAGTTCTGGAAGCCTCCATCGGGGGGTTATGTGTCTCCGGTCCCCCAAGGGTATGAACGCGAGGACTACCCTTGGAAGGTCGAGAGGACAAAGTGGCAGAAATTCAAGGCTGCTATCCCCTTCTACCACAGCGACATTGAGGATGTGGAGTATCCTCCCGCGTTTACAAAAGATTACGCAACAGAAAAAGAGGAAGGCGCCGAATGGCAAAAGTGGCTCTCGGCTAAGGACCGGCCTCATCATCGTTTGGCGCTCTTCGACTGGACACCTGGTTGGCTCCCAGCTTTGCCTTTATTGAACAAGAAGGTCGATACCATTTACTGGTGCCGGGCCGAGCTGGCAAAGTTGAACCTCGAAATCGAGGAGGACCAGCAGCATCCGGAGCGGTACCCTATCATGAACTCCGCTTTTATCCAGTTCAACCACCAAGTCGCGGCGCATATGGCTTGCCAATCCGTTACTTACCATATCCCTAAGCAAATGGCCCCTCGCACGGTCGAAATCTCGCCCAACGACGTCATCTGGGACAACATGGCCATCAAATGGTGGCACGAATGGGCGCGAAGTGCTCTCGTCTTCGCTGTGGTAACTGGTATGCTTATCCTGTGGGCTTTTCCCGTTGCGTGGACAGCGTCGCTGGCGCAGCTCGATGCCTTGGTGGAGAAGTATAGCTGGCTCCACTGGCTGGTCGAGAACAAAACAATCCACAACGTTATCAAGGGTGTGGCTGGTGTTTTGCCTGCTGCTGTCCTTGCGATTTTGTTGATTTTGGTTCCAATAGCACTGAACTGGCTCGCAACTTTCCAAGGCGCAAAGACTGGCTCGCAAACGACGGAGACGGTACAGACATACTACTTTGCGTTCCTCTTCGTACAGGTCTTCCTCGTCGTTTCCATCACGTCAAGTACGTTTCAGACGATTGCAAACATTACGCAGGATATCACTAGTACCCCTGAAGTTCTGGCGGAGAACCTCCCCAAAGCCGCGAACTACTTTTTCAGTTACATGATTCTCCAGGCGCTGTCAACCAGTTCGGGAACGCTCCTTCAGATCGGTACATTGTTCATGTGGTACATCATGGCTCGTATCTTGGACAACACGGCGCGGGCTAAATGGACGCGCAATACTCAACTCCCAAGCGTCACTTGGGGATCATTCTTCCCAGTTTACACCAACTTCGCTTGCATCGCTCTGATCTACTCCGTTGTGGCACCTCTCATTTCAATTTTTGCCATCATCACCTTTGCACTCTTATGGTGTGCGCATAGGTACAACATGCTCTACGTCACTCGTTTCCGGACCGACACCGGTGGTGTTTTGTACCCGCGGGCTATCAACCAGACGTTTACTGGTCTTTATGTCATGGAGCTCTGCCTTATTGGTCTCTTTTTCTTGGCAGTGGACGAAAACGATCAAGTCGCCTGCGTTCCTCAGGCCATCATCATGATCATTGCCCTTATCTTAACCATTCTGTACCAGTATCTGCTGAACCGTTCCTTCGGGCCTCTCCTTCGGTACCTCCCCATCACATTTGAAGACGAAGCCGTGATCCGCGACGAAGCTTTCCAGCGCGCCCAGGAACGAAGACTGGGCATTATCCGGGATGACGATGAAGCCACTGCGCTTAATCGGTCAGGTCCTGGTGCGAGTGACGGGAAAGATATTGAGCTTCGGAACTTGCACAAGAGAACCAAGTCAGAAGCCGATAGCCTGTCTCGACTGGGAAAGCTTAACCCAGTCAGGGGTATCGTTCAAGCTGGTAGTTGGGCAGCACGAGGCGGCAGGCAGGTTCGGCAAGCGGCGTTTGGCAAGGCGGAAGAGAATTTGCGCACAGCCACCATCTATCGCAACGAACGCCGTCAGAAGGACATAGAAGCACAGCGGGCGATAGGAGATGCATTGTTTGGCGGCTATCACGACGAAATCGAGGATCTTACCCCAGAGGAGCGCGACGTGCTTGTACGCAAAGCATTCCAACACTATGCGCTACGAGCCCGCCGCCCCACGGTCTGGATTCCTCGTGATGATATCGGCGTGAGCGACGATGAGATCAAGCGGACCCAGGAGTTTAGCAAGTATATTTGGATCAGCAACGAGGGCACTGCGCTAGACAGTAAAGTGCGTGTAGTTTATGGTCGCAATCCGCCTGACTTTTCGGAGGTGGACATCATCAACCTGTAACGATGGGGTGGAGTATGTGTCGGTAGCAGCTTGAGGGGCATTACTGATTCAAAAGGAAGTAACGAGAAGCAGGAGAGTGGACGTAAGATTTGCATGCATGTACCGGAAAGAAGAGGTCGCGAACGAAGAGAGATACCCGTGAACTTATCATTTCGTCCTTCTCTTTTTCTTTTTTTGGGTGGCCTTTCACGTACAACTCGTCTCCTTGTGGTGACAGTGCACGGATTCCTTCTTGCATAAAACTGCGTTGCATCATTGTTTAGGTAGTAGACATTATTCTCGACTCTTCGTACGGCGTGCTTGATGGAACATGGGTGGGCATACAGATATATAGAGCACAAAACGAATCCCCTTCGAAGGGGAATGATAATGAATAGCGTTTACCACATACACTAGTAGTTCGGTATTTGAAATGATAGTATATTAGGGAAAATAGAAAGCCGAAGGAGCAAACTTGCACATTGTCCCCTGGAAAGAAAGGAATACCATAGGTGATGATGGGTTGCGATTGGCTGGGCAACGAAGTACATCGATACATAGCTAATTCGGAGCACTGTGCGAATAGTCAGGACAGCCCAGCCGAATAAAGTGGAACGTGCTTGGCATCCCAAGTTGGTTGCAGTGAGACGCGTCTGGAGACCGTTTCGACCGCTACTGCAACTCACTCTTGACCTCACTTTGAAGATTTGGGAATAAAAGCACTGCAGTCACACCAAGCCGATGTTCTTTTATCAACAACTCAACGGAGCTATCAACGCTTAGCCATTCATCCAAGTGAACGTATCAACAAAGGACAGCCGAATAAACAAAGCATTCACATTTCTTCTCCAGCAGCATGCCTCCCAAAAGCAACGACACTCACACAACAGGGATGAAGCGACCCCGATCGCGTCTGCAGGACGAAGAAATCACGGATGAGAACAGAGCACCACCAATATCGACGCCGGGAGGAGCAATGGCCAGTGCCATCAGCAAATCCAAAAGACAGCGACTGAGCACTGTCTTCGATCAGACCATGATTTCATCGCCACCCGGCACGACAGGAGGTTTAGATCCCTTTGCAGCTAGCAGCCCCGTCCTCGGATTGCCTACTACACCACCTGTGATAGCAACACCAGCGGGGGTCAGAACATCGGCACGCCGCAGCGCAGCAAAGCAGCAAGCAGCAAGACAACACACTCCTGTCGCCGCCAATGCCAAGAAGAGGTTCATCGTCGAACGACCACCGGCTAAGAAACTGGTGTTTGAGGAAACATGGAGGAGTCTTGGTCCGACAGGCGATAAGGCGGGCGCCAAGGGCGGCAAGGGGTCGGAAAATCCTTCGCCTCCCCCCGCTAAGGTGGTTAATAGCGAGGGGGAAGAGGTATTGGGAGGGGAAGGGCAACAGGCGAAGCAGCGACGGGGCACAAGCGAGAAGTCCAGAGCTGCGGCTGCTGCGGTCCAAACGAAGGATGATATCTACACAATCCCTGATGATTCGGAGGATGAGTTGAAGCTCAATGCGAGGGCGGATCCTCAACGGGCGGAAGACAAGCAGCAGAAGCAGGAGGGAAAGAAGAAGAGGGGCCCGCAGCGGAAACCGAAGGAAGCAACAGCAGTAACGACTGATGGGTCAAATGACGCTACGAAAGATCCACCCCCACCCAAGAAACGCGGCCGGCCGAGGAAGGCTGACAGGATCACGGCGGCGGAAAAGGTGACCGATGCAGCCCCAGCGAAGGTCTCTCGACGGCAACCAAGGTCAACAAAGAAGAAACCAGCAGACTTGGTGGAAATCAGCGATTCTGAAGAGGAACCTGACGACGCTATCGATGACCAGCTTCTGGCGGACCTGGATTACGAGGATGGAAAGAAGAGCCATCAACGGGCCGGACAGCAGCAACAACCAGAGCTCAGAGGGATATTGAGTCCCCGGAAAAAGAGAGTGGGCGGTGATGGCGATCTACTGCGCAAGACTGTGGCTTTTAGCAAGTCCAAGGAGGTGGATGACGAAGACGAAGAGGATGAGGAGGAACGAAAGGGGATGTCGACTGAAGTTATGTTTGATGACCTGCCGACGAAAAAGAAGTCAGCATCCCGAGAGAACGGAATCATGCCTGAATCACCGACCGTAGACGGCGAAGATGCCGAAGATGCGGCAGCGGAGGATGAAGAATTTGACACAGAAGAGGCTGGGAGCAACGATGATGAAGAGGTCTGTGTGATCTGCTCAAAGCCAGATACCAGAAAAGGTAACCAGATCGTCTTCTGCGACGGCTGCGACAAGGCTGTTCATCAAAAGTGCTACGGTATCCCTCGCCTTCCCAAAGGAGACTGGTTCTGCCGCGAGTGCTTGGAGCTAGGCAAAGACAAGGAGAAGAAGAAGAAGAAGAAGGCTGTACCATCGGCATCAGCGGACGTAACAGTGACGCGCAGAGAGGACGAAACGGTGGCTACGGTTGAGGCAGTACCCGAAGAGAAGGTGCCGGATATCCCAAACTTTGAGCGGCATCTACGGTCTCTGCAGCGAGTCCTGGTCGAGCGCTGCACGGGTGGGCGGCGGATCAAGCTGCGTGGTCAGGAAGAGGCGTATGCGAAGACTTGCCAGTTGGTCGAGCAAACTATTGTGGCAGGTGAAGGTAACTCCATGATGGTCATTGGCGCCCGAGGAAGTGGGAAAACGACGGTAAGCAGTGGTCTCGTTGTTTGTAAATTTGAAAACAACACATGAGTGGGCTAGTTCTAACAGTGAATCGCCATAGCTGGTCGAGTCTATCATGTCCGACATGTCTTCGCAGCATAAGGATGAGTTCCACGTGGTGAGGCTGAACGGCTTCATCCACACAGACGACAAATTGGCTCTCCGAGAAATCTGGCGCCAGCTCGGCAAGGAGATGGCCGTCGAGGATGAGCTCATCAACAAGACCACCAACAACCACGCCGACACCATGGCGTCCTTGCTGGCGCTTTTATCTCACCCTGCGGAAATTGGTCTGGTACCGCAGGATGGAGTGACATCTAGGTCTATCATCTTCTTGATCGATGAGTTCGATCTCTTTGCCACACATGCCAGACAAACCTTACTGTACAATTTGTTTGACATTGCCCAGGCGAGGAAGGCGCCCATCGCCGTTCTGGGCCTGACAACGAGGATTGATGTTGTCGAGAGTCTGGAGAAGCGCGTCAAGAGTCGGTTTAGCCATCGATATGTGTATCTCTCTCCACCGAAGAGCTTGCCTGCGTACTGGGAGATTTGCAAGCAGGGTCTGATGGTTGATGAAGAAGACATGGAAACGGAGGGGATCGACCAGGCGGTGGAGGGCCATACTGAGTTTTTCGAATGGTGGAATAGAAAGATCACGGTAAGCTGCATTTCCCCCGCATCCTCTCTATGCTATTTGTCTTCTCTACTTTGTTACTGTAGACCTCTGTGCTGACTTACAACCGTCAGACCCTCTACAAAACCCCCGCCTTCCAACATCACCTAGAATCTCACTTCTACAGCACCAAATCCGTCCCCGCCTTCCTAGCCTCTTGCATCCTCCCCCTATCAAGCCTCTCCCCCTCCTCTCCAACCTTGAGGATACCTCCGACTCCAGCGGTACACTCTTCCTCTTCCCTCACTCATACCCTCCCTACCACCGAACCCCCGGACTCCAAGCTTCACCTCCTCGCCTCTCTCTCCGACCTCGATCTCTCCATGCTCATCGCCGCCGCCCGCCTCGACATCGTCGCCCACACCGACACGGTCAACTTCGCCATGGCCTACGATGAGTACACGTCGCTTATGGGCCGGGTGCGCGTGCAGAGCGCTAGCGCCGGTCTGCTCGCTCTCGGCGGCGGGTCCAGGGTCTGGGGCCGCGGGATTGCGGGTATTGCATGGGAACGGCTGGTTACATTGGGTTTGCTGGTGCCTGCTGCGGGTTCGCTGGGCGGAGGCGGGGCGAATGCTAGGGGGGCTGGAGCGACTTTGGGGCAGAGCGGAGGTGGCCTGGAGGGGAAGATGTGGAGGGTTGATGTGGCATTGGAGGAGATTCCGGGGGCGGTGAAGTTGGGGAATGTGTTGGCGAGGTGGTGTAGGGAGATTTGAATGTTGCTCTGCAAAGACGGTAAATATGTGTTGTAGGCTTACCTTGTTGCGTCGGGTCTTCTTCCACGGTCAGGACGGGATCAAGTGAATTACTCGTAGGCTCGTCTAGGACAAGCGAATGTCGACTTTGGAACACCATGTCAACGGCAAAACTGACAAGACACCAACGAGATCGTAGGGATGTACGTAGAAATCTGTGGCTATGGAAGACTATGAGGACAAATGAAAGGAATAAAGGTAATGAGAGGGATGAAACCCGTCTTGATATTCACATCGACGTCATGGTTTTGGTGTCCTGGCCCGGCGGCAGTCTAGGTTATAATCAAATCTCAACTAGGTGTCCATTGGCACTTACCCACTCGAATCAAACTTGCAAATGAATAAGTTGTGTTCACGTTTGTTTTGCAGAAGGAATGCACCCAAGTTCAGGACTCATAACGGCTTGGAATGGTTCTCATACCAGTTTCGTTACCACGCTAACAAGTTTAATGCCGGCAAAAGTATAAGGTGAACAGAATTCAAAAGTGTATCTAGTATTGTCTCAAAAAGTACTCTAAATGCAAAGTACCACAGCACGAGAATGTGACGAAATTACTCTCAAAATACAAATCTAAACAAGAAAGCAAAACCCTAGCAAAGAAAAAGAAGAGAAGCGAAATCCCCAAGATAGCACGCTCATCTCAAAGGCAGATAGATGTCAAGTTACACCATCAGCGCCTACCAATTATCTGTGACGGTCCATTCATCCATACATTATGGCCCAAAAAAAAAGCAAACAAAATCATCCAGATGGTGTTCTCAAAAGCCAAAAACTCCAACCATACCAAGAACCACCGCCAACACAGCGGCAGCGGCAGGATAACCACGTGCGGCACCAGCCATCACAACACTAGGTTGAGCAGGAGCCTTGGTCCAGGTTGGCTCGGCATGAGTAACAGGGATAACCATCTCTGTAGTGGTAGCCGTGGCGACGGCAGTCTGGGTGACGAACGAGTCGCAAGCCGTAGAGAACGAGTTCGGGGCCGGGGCGGCGGAACCCCAGGCGGACCAAGGGCCGTGAGGACCGTGGGGAGGACGAGCGAGAGGGGGATGAAAGGGGGCGGCCTTTCGTTTTGTGGTTAGAATCTGTACCATTCTATCTTGCTTGTGGTGTGGATATCGACTGTAAAGACGAAAACGATTGGAAAAAAAAGAACAACAGAAAAGGAAAAGGTGTCAAGACTTACAGTAGCACCCGCGGCATCGGTGGTGCACGGGAGGGTGAGAACAGTCGGAGCCGTCACCGCGACAGGAGCTCCATTCCAAATAAAGCTGGTAGGCGTAGGGCAGAAGATGGTGGTGCTCGAGGCGACAACGGCGTCGTTGTCCTCGCCCTCACCAACAGAATCTTCATCTTCTTCACAATCAGGTTCATATTCGGCAGTGGCAGTGACGGCGGCATCTTCCTCCTCCATATCAGCCTGGACTGGACGTCTGGCTCCAGGAGCACCGGGAGAAGGGGGAGGAGGAGGAGGAGGGCCAGAAGGAGGACTGGAAAAACCAGCAGGAGCAGGAGCGACAGCGTCGGTAGCGGCGGCGGCAGCACCAAAGCCCGCGGGAGGGGCGCTGGTCCCCCAGTGGAAGGCGGAGGCGGAGCCTGCGGCGAGAGAAGTGACGACGAGCGTGGTGAGATGCATCTTGACTAGGTAGTGAGATTGAATGAAGGTGTGATTAGCGATGGCTGAAGGACGGGATGTCTGTGATGTCTTGTTGGGAAAGAGCCACGAGTCTTCTCAGGGAAAGGAAGATTATGTCGTGTGGATGAAGTGAGTGACACCAAAAGTGAACTAATGAGTGACTGGAAAGAATGTGTTAGGGAGTGACTGAGGTTGGAGTATGCTGGATGATGATGGGCTAACCTCCTCCAAGTGAGCAGAGGTCTCGTATCTTTATGGACTTTGATGAGTGTATTAATCACCCCAGGGATACAAACTCAAGTTGTAAACAAACCAGCGCTTGAATTCAAATCCCAATGTTGTGATGTTGCTACGACTACCACTCACGATGCCTCAAGAATGTGTGCGAAAGAGACTCCCCCCACAACTCATTCCACGGCCACCTCCCATGACGACTGGTCACCGCAGCACATTCCTGACTTTTAAATCACAAATTCCAAACTCAACCTACAATATAGTGCTGGCTGTTTTGTTGGCTTGGTATTTAGGTGTAGTACATCATTGGACGAGATGTTTTCCGAATTGTCCAAAACTATACAAGGACTCAATGAGTGGCCCGTATGGATCCAAAAGGCATGAACAAGATTCAACACGGTACATTTCACTTTGAATAGATCATTATCACAGCATGAAAACGCCTTGGGAAGTTGACCCAAGGTTTCGAGCTAACAAACATATCAGTATTGGACTGTATAGTAGGCTGTTAAACTGATTCTAATTTTGCGAAGCCAAGGTATGGGACAGAGCACCGTCAGTGAGCCTTTCCACACACTGTCGGTCCTTCATTCCCCCCAACCAACATAAACAAGTCTTGTTGGCCTCTGCCTTCATGCCTTCTCTTTCTTAAGCTGGCCCAGCCAGCTTTCTTCTGCACACAGACTGATTGATACACGGTTCTTCCCAGCGTGGAAGCCCTCTTTATAGTAATGAGTTGATTATCACCTGGCCTGAACAATATTGTGCAGCCCCCAAGAACAATGGTGCCATCGAACTTAATGCAATTGATCACCCTTTCCCTTTCCCTTAACAAACCGTCCGTTTCCTTGCCCACCTTCCCTATGCCGTCAGAAACCCCCCTTGACCAGTTCGTAATCCTTCCCCAAGATGACAAAGTAAATGGAGACTATATGCAGGTGACCAGCTCCCCCCATCTATGTCGCGTGTTATCCTTTGAACGCCGTATATCTCCAAAGAAGAGTAAGTGAACCGGAAAGATGGTAACAAAATTAGTAGATATTTAGCCACCAGGACAAGTGAAGTAACACGGGAGTCCTAGACTCCCTTATGCACAAGGACATGAAGCCTGCTCCCCATATTATAGAGAAGATGCTGAACGTGTTCGAAATCGGGTTTTTATTCCAAGACTTGGGTCAGGGTCGATATTCTCTCGTCCCCTACCTATTCTCGGCCACACACGCGTGTAGACTTCACGTGCGGTTCGACCTGCTCTGGCTGCGCTCCACCATGCGTCCCTGGCCATGAACGGGCGTAATCGAATCAAAGTCGTAGTTCCTGAGCGTCTGCTCGTACTTCGGATTGCGAAGGAATTTGGGAACCGAGTCCTGTGTCTTTGTTAGCTGATGATTCCGATGATCCCCTTTCTCTCATGTTTTGGATTCAACTTACGCTCGCCATCAACTTGAAGACAGCGTTCTGAGCATCTTCAAAAAGCGCCATGACTTCTCGAAGCGTATCAATCATGGTGACGTCCTGGCCCACCGCCTTGGTCATACGTGTCGCGAGGTTATTACGCAACTGGTGATCAATGTTGAGTTCGCATGGAGAACCAGGGGCCAAGAAAGCATTGTAGATGCCGTAGGCCTGAGCCATGATCTCCTTGATTCCATCCAAGGAAGCCGCGCTGTTGGGGCTTCTTTGCGCAAGGTCGATCGCTGCTCTGCATTGACGAACAAATTCGTCGGTATCCAAGTAGAAGGCAAGATTCTCCTCGCAGTGAGTCTCACGGAGGTTCTCGCGGAAGAGCAGACGCAACGAATTCTCGTTGAGGATCTTGTCTAGGCGCTGGGTATTGGAATCACGCGCGATGCCAACAGATCGGGACGCAGAGTGGCCATCACTTTCGGAAGGCCGTCCGCGAACCAACGCTCCATTGACAAGGTCCTTGCCCTTGGGTGTAACCTGGTAGATGGCGTGCTTGGTGGGTTGAAATAGGTGGTGGCCGGGGTTTTGTTGCATGTGGGCCTTGTCTTGCTGAACGGCCTCCATGAGCTCATACTCGACAAAAAGGGAGGCGATTTCAATTGTTTCCCTGCGGTCGACTGCGGTCGAACAGTCCATCAACCAGTCCGTTGCAGCCTTTCCAGTGAATGTGTCTCGGTAGGTCCTGCCGTTCACTTTGCGTTCCGCAGCCATCTTGACACCCGTCAGACCATCCCTATAGTCGCTCAGAGAATCCGAGTCCGCCGAGCTCACACTCTGCTTGATGTTGAAGCCATTGGGTCCAATAAACCGGCGGAAGATGACTTCAATCAGTGCGCGGTCGGTAAGCACCTTGTCAGTTTGGGGATTGCGCTCCAAAATGACGATCTGAGGCAACGAATTCCCGATGAGCTCGGCGACTTGCTTCTGTTGAATGCCGTTTCTGGAGCAGAAGCGATCCAAAATGGAGATTCCCTTGGGTGTTAGCTGCCATACGGACCCCTTCATGCTGTATACCTGTTGGTACCTGCCATCCGCAGACTCGATAAACCTGGCCTCGAGGAATCTTTGACATATCGAACGGGCCATGTCCTTGGCCATTGAGAAGGTTGTTGTGGTCGTAGTGGTCACGATGCGCGAAGGGTCCTTAGGGTCCGGCATGCGGTTGGACTGCGAGAATTTGAGGGAGCCCAAGTTGTTGATGGCATCCTCAGACAGGAAGGTGTGTTCCACCTTGGTCAGGCGAACGCGATGGGCGGAGAGGGGAAGAAGAGAGACGATCAACGTTGAAAAGAGATCTTTGAAATCCTGCGCATGCGGAGTTAGCGGCAGACTATTTCGGTGGTGCAAAGCAAGTGTCTCATGGACCTCGTTTGCTTGCTCAAGACCATGCTAACCTTTGTGAACGGGCGATCGTCATCCGTCATGCGCAACAGTCTCGAGGAAGTTTGATGCATCTTGTTGTCAACGCGGCTGACGCGGACGGGCAGAGGTCTGTTCGGATCGGTTTCGCTATACGGTTGTGAAGGGGGATTGGGATCCCGAGGCACTAGCGAGGAGGCCAAGTGCCTTTCGTCCTCGGGGGAAGACCTGGAAGCGGACCTGGAGCGGGAGGACTTGTCCGGGCCGGGCAGCAGAGGACCGCCAACGGGGGACTCGGGGCCGGCGGAAAGACGACCGTTTGATTGACGTGACCGGATTCTAGGCTCTCCTAAACCGGCCAAGGTTTTGTCAAGGGCGGCGGCGGCGAGTGCGAAAATGCCACCAGTGCGCTGGGAGCTAACAGACAGTGAGCTCAAGTGCGAGTGCGCCTGCTGTCGGGTTTGGGAGCCTGAAACCGCCGGGTGTGGGGGCTTGGCAACGGGATCGCGGACAGAATTCGACTTCGCCTTTGCGATTGTGTTGCCGGCGAGAGCGGAGACGGTGGTGGAGGAGGAGGAGGAGGAGGAGGAGTGGGAGGAGGGGGTATTTGAAGCGGTTCCCGAGGTTCCTGTTGCTGGTGCGCTGCCGGTGTTTGCGCTACTGCTAATAGTGCTGATGCTGGAGCTGGCACTCCTGGATTTACTGCTGTTGACGGTGCTACCTGTGCTTCGGTTGCCTGCTTGCAATGCGACTACTGGTGAGGAGGAATCAGAGTTGGTTGAGCGGGACGACGACGAGCCTGCGGCCATCTAACAGCGAGCGGGTTAGTTTGTAGATGTAACAGAAGAGTGGGCGTGCCTGGTCGGGGATGGGCAAGCGTCGGTTCAAATAAAAGAGGGATGGTCGGCCACGGCAGCCGACTGGTCAGAGCTGGCTGTCTGTCCAGTGCTTGCTGCTGCTCAATGGGACGGATGCCGGGCTCAAATGCTACTGGAAGCACCGAACCAGCCAGGGCATCTTCAGTGGGGCGTATGCGATGTGGAGCAGATACGGTGGGTGCAGCGCTGCAGAGCGCAGACTGCAGCAGGCTGCGAGTGCAGACGGGGTGGGTTCAGTGGACCGGTCCTGGTGCAGACTGGCGCAAGGCCGGCGCACCTAGTCCAGTGTCGGGTACGGTGGGCGGGAGTGACAAGGGGGCACTGGGACACACAAAGAAGGAGACTCTCCTCCGAAAAGGCAATTCCATCGACAAGGCACGACGAGGCCACAAGCACTGCGCTAGCAGCAGCTAGAAACCAAAGTGGCCCCGAGTGGATGCTCTCTTTCTCTCTCTCTCTCTTCAAACATGCGACACACCCACTCTTGCACACCACTTGCTCGCAAGCCAGCTAGGATGCCAGCGGGCCTTGGGCTTGCCAGGAGCTCACGATGGACCAGGGGCATGCCCGTCATTCCTAGAGGACAAGGGCAGTGATCCCAGCCTGAGCTTCTCCCAAAAAAAGCCACACACTCCCAAACAATAAACCAGGCAAAGAGGGGGAGGAAAAATGAAATAGATAAATAAAAGCCACAAAAATATAAAAAAGCCCCCTCCAGGGAAGAGCCACTGAGGGAGATGATCGGTGAGAGGGTAAGGTAGGGACGCCGTGGTATCAAGACGGCTGATGGACGGGACCATTGTGAAATTCAGGTGGATCGTGGATGCCACCACCAAGTGAGCACGGCATAAACCCAGGCTCCCAGCCAGCCTGCGGGCCTGACAAAGAGCCGGGGAAAGAAATAACTGAAAAAAAAGATACAGGAAGCAACGGTTGAGGAACACACCTACCTCTCCGCCAATTCCCCCAGACTGATGGACCACGCCCTCGTGTGACATCTCTGAACCTGTCTCGCCTGTCACTTGCCGTTGGACGAAATCTCGCCGCAGCCTGCGTCTGCTATTGTGCGAGCGAACCGTGTATGAAGGCCCAGAAGCACACGCGAGGACCACCCAAAAGTTTGCGTGAAAGGGCGACGGCGACAGAAGGAGTCTGAAGTACCTTGCACGACCGCACCGATCACCTAAGAGACAGGCGCACCCGCTGCTTCGGTGTTGTGATGAGCGAACCCCTCGGGTGAGGGAAGCAGGCGGCGGAATCTGAGCTCCTGTCACGAAAATCACACTCAGCAGCTTGCGGTTGGGAAAATAAAAAAATAAAAAAAAAATAAAAAAAAAGGTCGGAAGGTCCGTGGTCGCGGTCTGGGGCTTTCTGAAAATAGAAGGCCTGCGCAAAATAACGGCGGAGCGAAATGGCGTGCGATGGGTGATGAGTTGGCCGGGCTTGGGAACGCAAGGACGCTTTTCTTTCTCCGTCTTCCCCTTGGAAGATTGCAAGGCAGCGAGGTGTAGATTTTTTTTAAAACAAGAAAGTAGGCAAAGCGCCCTGGAGCAATAAGAGCCTTGGTGAAGCCAAGGGATTGCAAACTAATGTGCAATGTCGAGATGGACGTGGCCGGGTGTCACGATTGTGAGGTTGCTATCACAGCAACGGCAACTTTGTCAACGCAGGTCGACGCAGGCGTCCTGTCGGCCGCAATTGAGGGGGGGGGGCAAGTACTAAGTACACCGGGGTTTGCTGCACACACAAAATGAGAAGGTAACAGCGAGAAAGTGGTCAAACGTTTCTGTTTCTGCTCAATCCCTAGTACATACACTACAAAGGATCGTAATGGTAAATATTTACTCCAGGAACTCAGCGTCATGATGACAGAAACCCAGCAAAGATGAAAAATTGAAAATGAAGCCGCCCGCCCTCCGTCCCGTCTGTTCATGGTCCAGTTTGCGGCTTCCGCATTGGCGGATCGTGTCGCGTGGCAATGGCATGGCTGCAAGGTAAGGTATGCAGCCGAGATGCCAAAGGGTCACCGCGACTCTCTTCTCGTCTGATCGTGTTTTTTTTTTATGGAAACCAAACTGGCCAAACTACCCCGTTACAGAACTGCACGTGTCTCAGGGTTCAAGCGGTAAATATGTATTCGGTTCATTGCCAAACCATCATCGTCTCTTTTTTGACTTGGCGCTTTTGCCTGCCCATCTGGTGTTGTTTATCTCGGCATTCTCAAACGGCGATGCGACGCAGACTGGTGGTGAGTTTCTTTCCCACTGCAGTATGTAGACGCTACTGCACATTTGGCTCCGTAAAATCCACACAGAGTCCCTGCTCGCTTGCAAGATAACCATGCGCTTGGTGTCGTAAGAACCGTGGACCGGACCGGAGACTCGGAGAATAGACTGTGGGAGATGGGATCGTCATACTATGTACTTCCACGCCTCCCCATGCTGCCGGGCTGCTGTACTTTTCCCGGTTTTTCTTTTAACTACTGCATCAACTTTACCACAACCCGATATAAGCCTCGTCCAGGCAAAAAGCCCCCTTTTGGGCGTGCTGATTTCACTCGCCCAGTCCGTTTTTGGATACAATCAATATTCGTCAAGTTGTGATGAAAGCAACAAAGGCAAGCGACTTTGGATTGGGCGCCAAGAGAGACAGCTGGCGCGGGCAGGATGGAGATAGGTACATGAATTTTGTCCCTTCCGTCTGCATGATCGATACCCTTGAATGCGATCGGTAGCGGCCCCTTGCAACAGTCAGATATGGGTGCATTGAGGTTGGACACAGACCGAACATCTGCACAGCTTCTTCCATGAGTGAAGCCGGGAAAGGCTGGGTACGGAGAGATTGGCAAGAAACACACAGATCTTTCCCGAGCCGAAAAACGGCGGTCAGCATTGCGACGATGGGATTTCCCTGAATGCTGATGAGTGGTGAGCCTTGCAACACGAAGCGTTTGTGGTAAAAAAAAATCTGATTGGGGAACTGGCGAAATCTTCAGGACGTTCGTTACAGGGTGCAAGATCTGCGCGTGGCTTCAGGGATCTTTTGCAAACCACGCCATGTGTGCTGCTGCTTCAGATGAGAGGTCTTGCAGGAACTAGTAGCTACCTCGTACTGTGCAATATACGGAGCACGCCGAAAACTGACCCACTACTAACTGCACGCCCAGGTCTAATGGGCAACCGTACCTCATTTTCTCCTCGGCATCCCGTCGTTAGCCCGTTCCTCACTTTCCAAAGGCCTTCTTCGTTGGAAAAAGCGACTGGAACGTCCCATTTCATGACTTGAAATGCCACTCAATCAATGACTGTCATCCCGCCCGCCACAATGTTTCCGCTGTGTTGGTTTTTCTTTGTTCCACTTTGTGATTGTGTTGTCGCCTATGCGCTATACCTCAGCATGCATCGCTGGCCCAGTCGCATGGGTAGATTCTCGCACGAGCCCATAACGCAACGTACGCGCCGGCGATAGGATATCAGTTGCTCGTTGCTTCACACGAAACGTGATGTCTTAACAGCATTGATTGATGCCTTCCTTGCTTTCGTTACTGATCTCGCGAGAAAACGGGCAAATGATTCGATGAAAACCGCCCGGCAATGTCAGGTCTCATCTATTATGTGACCACTTACGTAAACCACAGGACCACGATCAACCTTTAAGGAACCACTCAGCTCACGTTTCGCATTAACATCTCACACACGTCTCTTCGCTGGAAAAACGACATTGATAACGGAGTGCCATGGTGGAAACGGTGTACCAATGGAGCCAGATAAGAGAGGGGCTACAGCGTAAGTGTAATACATGCTGCATAGCACACAGTAGTGTATTATGTGGTATACTTGTAGAGGTCAGCAGTGAACCCTGCGCAAAATTTGTGGGCTCTGCGAAATTCTGTAATGTCGTAATCATGAATTTGTCGAAGGTTTTTAGCTAGGTGCAAGGCACATCCCAGTTTAGCAAGCCACATGCCTCTGCTTTGATTTGCTTCAATCGCGTCAATTCCCGCTCAGATCAGTTGAACAAACGGTGGGGAAAGGGCTTGCGCCATCGATACCGTCAGAACGAAAAGAACAGAACGTCTGTTTTTCTCACTTCTTAAAAACCGTCTGAACCCATCTTACTTGAGAGTATCACATCCTTTGCCTTTTGGTCCTTTTCCTTTTTGATCTACATTGTGCGACGTGAGTCTGGACAAGTCAGGGTTTTGGATGATGTCTGCGGAGTAGGTAGGCCGTCGGAAAAGGCTGGACGGCGGCAGCGCCTCCACGTGTGCAGAAGCATGCTGTCAACCGAACTTGGAAAAGGTTGATCTCACACACACCACACTGCATGGCGCTGAAACTCACGTGGAAAAGTGCTCACAGCACGTGGGTATCATCCCGAAAATAAGACGCCTCAGACTCTGGCAGCCAATGACCATTTGCAGTGCCTTCTGCAACAACAAAGACAACACATTGGTGCGGTAAACAGGAGCTGGGCACAGGTTATGCAGCCGGCCAAGCGTGCTAAGAAAAGTACAGCATGAAATGGGATCTCTCCTTGCCGCCAATAACCTACCGTGATTACCTCTAGGACCATTATGCGGCATGAACCTCGCCATGCAATGTGCTGCAAGATTCCAAGTTTCAGTCCGACTACGCGTCTGGCGGTTTACATACAGAGCATACCCAACACAGGCGTACATAGCTCTTACCTAATTGCTCAATGGTTCGAAGCATGTTGCCGGATTCATTGCAATCTTGTACTGCATGTGCTTATCTCTGCTTAACACGCACGTGAATGAGTGCGGGCGGCTGCAATCTGTCCGCGACACAGGTAACGAGGTGGTATCAGGAGAAGCGGGGTCACCGTCAAAGGAAAAGAAAAGGTTCTGATTTACTTTGATCGTATCATCGGTGTGGAGAGATGGCGGGAGCTATATCACTGCTGTTAAGATCGGGATACTGTATGTACCTTATGGTGCTGTCTCGTATCAGCAGTATTTGCGATTTGGCGGCAAGGTAAATACCAACGTGACGAACACAAGAACCCAACGACTGCTCAAGACCTCGGGCGGTAAAGAGGATCCCATGTTCAGGGTCAAAACTATAATTAACCCGCCCAGGAAGAGAAAAATTTCAAAACATCCAACGGCAGACAGGGGTTTCCCTTTTTTCTCAGGTAGCTCTCAAATGGGAAAGGACCAAGAAGTCTGCTTCTGGCTCCACAAACTTGGAGGTTGGGCAGTCTCACAATTTTGGCGTGCCATTTCTCTGCTGCCTCTTCGCACCGCTTTCTTCCACATCTCAGCCGGCCCATATAATGAGTACCTAGGAATCCACCGTTAGCGAGTTTATTGACGAGCCTCTTTTCTTTTCCTACGTTGCCAACATAAAGGGACTGACTCTGGTAATCCTCAAGAACATCGCCAAAACAGTTGCGCAGGTGAGCGAGCATTGCATTGTCGTGAGTCGGCCACAAAAAGATGAATAATCAGAGTTGCGATTTGGCCTATCTCACTACGATTGGGTGCTGCCGGGCCTGGTGCTGCCCGGGGGTGATGTCAAGAGAAACTTGCCCGCTGCGGGCCCATGGGCCGACCAACCTGCCATTCCATTTCTGTCCACCCTGCCATGCCATGCCATTGCTGCCGCCGTCCCTGGCCAGCCATTCTTGCTCTGTTTCTAGAAGCTCAACCATTTTCCATGGCCCCACATGTCAAGATTGCACCCGATTTGCCAGGGCGACAAGGAGCCATGGCCGTTCGCGGACGCGGTATGTACTATGTAGTGTAAACTTCGACAGGGGACGTTGGGGCCTGTCGCTCATTGCGAGTTGACAGCGCTCGGGACGATCCCTCTATCCAGTCCAGATCGGATGGAAAACTGAACAGATGAGACGAACAGAGGCCTTCCGAACGATTGGGCACATGGCAAGCCGCCGCTCAAAAGGGGCAGTTGACATACGACCACGTGGAACCGGATGGAGTGCTTGCTCCGAATCCCAGCCTCAATCCCGCGAGCCTCCGACCCTGAAAGCATGCCGGCTCTGTAAAACAGCACGTCACATGGTTGTTGGTGTCCGCTTCCACTATTACATACGTCCCTATCCGTCTTGGCCTTCCAGACAAGTCCACACGTGTACCATATAGTCTTGGTCTTGGTAACACACAAAAATCATCATGCGGTTCAACCTTCGATGGGTGTACATATCTTGACGGATTGGTGGGAAACTTGCCACCCCCTGAGGGCAAAATGCAACTGTAACTACGCTATATGTAGCACGGACCTTTGCAAGCAACCACCTGGGACAGAAACTGCAATTGAAAAGCCTGGACGCGTACCCGGACTCAATGGTGTTGGTAGCCCTGCTACACTTCCGGACACAATGAGAGAAGCCGAATGCTGCTCAAGACCACCGTACGCCCGCGACACTCGGTATCGCGAACTCGGGATGTTGATCACTGGCTGGTCATGATGAGATAGACCGGCATCGCCACGCCGTTTTTTTTTTTTTTTTTTTTCTTTTTTTCTGGGCTCTCCCAGGTTCGCGATGTTTGCGCAAACGGACCGCTGCGAGAAGCAACCTCATAGCCTCGGACTCGCTGGCTAGCCGTTTCAAAATATTGGATCGGTGAAAAGTCCGACGATTCGCCTGCGATCCAGTAGTACACTATACAAGCCGACGAACCGAGTTGTCTATTCTGCAGTGGGTCTTGGCAAGGAATCATCCAAGCAAACCTCAGCTACGTATGTACGAGTCTTGGCGGTAAGAACCAAAAATATTCTTCCAAAAAAATTTTCCAAAGTTCAAACGGCAATTCCGCTTCCCGACTTCCTCGGACCTGAAACAAAATTTTGCTTCCCTTCCCACCACCACCACCCCCCCCTTCAAATTTTCTTCTTTTTTCTGGTTTTTTTTTTTTTTTTTTTTCGTGCATCGCACGTGGCGAGGTGGCGTGTTCTTGACGGTTCCAGAACTTCGGGTGCTACCGCTACACGTGGGATGGCTGGGCTAGGCAAGCAAGCGAGAACCTCCTCGGGTCTATTTCAACGCGCAAAGAAGCTACGGTAGCCTGGTTTGGGTTGAATCTATGACAGTATACGGTCTACTTGGCAACAGAAGCGGTCATTGATACGAACAGGTCTGGTCTGAATAGCTCGTCCAGTTGGTTGGGCGCAAGAGCCACAGTTGGCTTCAGACTACAGACAGCGATCATGATGTTTTATCATTACCTCTAGTGCTTACACCTCCACTCTTCTACTGATAGGATAGTAGCCTAGTCATGGCTATCAAGTCATTGAACTTCAGCCAGCCGTGAAGAGAAATCCGAAAACTTACTGATACTATGGTACGCCTCCCCTTTTATTCAAGATAGTGGCGCGGCGCGGCTTGTGCCATGGCTACCGAATGGTCATCTATTGGGTTTCAAACACGGCGCAAATGTGATGCACAGCTGAGGCTTTGGCTGAGCACAACAAGTCAGAAATGACCAAGAAAAGATGTGACGGGTCATATCTCGTTTCATGGTAATCAGGCAGGTTCGGCCTGCCTGCTTCGCCCGTGTGTCGAACGAGATGGATCCACTGCCCTGATTCATTGACCGTCAAAAAAGAAGCTGCGCCGTTTCGGGACAATCCTTTCTGCAACCAAGGCGATTCAGGCAGATTGCACTTCGTCCCGTCAGGAAGACGGCGTTATCTCGCCTTCTCGACAGGTCTCCATGGACGGCGATGACTCGCTTTCCAATAACGCTCCCGGCGATCTTTGCCAAAAAGATAGACAGTGTCCAGAGACAGTGATGCGTCACGCAGTTAGGAGCGGTGTAAGTCCACCGACTACCGGTGAACCGGTTTCCCGGTCTCTCCTCGTGAATGCTCGGTCGTGTGGCATTTTAAACAGTCGATAGGCCGTTACACCTTCAACCACGTGCCAAGGCCCGCCGGTTGCATTGGAATGGAAAACTCAGCGCAACACTTTTATCTTGCCTTTCACAACCGTCGACATTCAGTGTCTTATCCAAGATTCAACTGTCAGTGTTTCTCTTTCAACTTCCCGGTTCCTCGGAAGTTGTGGGATCAAGCACAAATGCGGCGAATCCAGAGACAGGTTGATGCCTGGACACGCGAAGAAAGTATGCGTAGTGTAGTTGGTGAAGATATACATAGTAATGTAATGGGGAGGCCGAGCACGCCGGCCGATCCCGAAGCCGAGAGGATCCGGGTATCTCCCCAAAAAGAAACCCCCCAAAAAAAAATCAAGAAACAAAAGATAATGAAGAATAGAATAAAACGTTGGAAAGTTATCAAAATAAGTAAAAAAAAAAAAAAAAAAAAAAAAAAAAAAAAAAAAAAAAAAAAAAAAAAAAGGGAAAATAAAAACAGGGATCTAAAAAGAGAAAAAGAAAACAAACAAGAAGATGTAAAATGAAGTAACTAGCAAGCGAACAACGTTACGAACTGGGATCAATTATATGGCCTTAATTAGGGTCGGGAATTCCCTCGTCGCGTGGCAGTGTCCAGGTTCATGCCATGCCTTGTCCCAATTTATCCTCTAAGCCAACCAGGCAAGAAGCCGCCGACCGGCAGATGATAAGTCAGGGGTCTTACTGAGGATGGCTTGGGCTGCGTTGCTTGGCCATGTTGTGCTTCACCAAAACCAGTGTGAGAAACGTGGGCAGAGAGTAGAGAGGGGATATGATCGGTAAGGAACCTGACTGGTCAAGATGAAATGTTTACGAAGCTCAGCTCAATACTTCGACAGATATCACACTTGCTATTCTCGGACCCTGACCGTTACTCTTCACGCTTGAAGAGTAGATGGACGGGAAGAGATCAGAAAGTCATTGCTCAGACCAATGACTGAACACACTAACATTTGTAAATTTATTGTACGTGGCTAACTGATCTCCTTCGCCTATCTTCCCACCCCCATCTCTTCTGGGTCATCTGGTCAAGAATGCTATGAGCTGATGGCCTCCAAAATCAAAAGTGTCGTGATCAATCTGAATGTCATCGATGTCTCTGACGTACGCTATAAAGGAAGAGGTCGTAATGACCTCAGTATTCTCAATTACCCTCAAACATTTCTCCCCTTAAAATCCAGTATCTTTGTCCAGTGCCGATGATGACCACAGGCATGACTAGAAACTCGGATATAACAATTGTTGCTATCACGCCAATCTCTCCTATAAGAGACACCTAAATGAATCATGCACAAGAATCACTACACGTAGGCTAACACTTGACTGCAGTGCACCTAATACGGAAGACAGGCGCCGATAACCCACGACATCTGCACTGACAGTCCAGGTGCCTATGTATGAACCACTACCAACCGATATTTGACGGAGGGACGAACGGGCGATGTTTTCATGAACAGTCAGACAGTGCCCACCTGGATAATTAGGTACCTTGTAACCACCGTAGGTAATCACCCCAGCCTCCTCCTGTCACAGGAGCGGCGTAACGAAAGCAGCTAGTAACAACACCAACACCATTAATACATGCTGGTGATGTCATGTGAATGTCTGGTACTATAAGCATTAAACATATGTAATCAAGCTTACAAGCAGATAGGTTAATCAAAGAATCAACCTGATGGTCGGGGAGCCGAGATCTGTCCTTTTCCACGTTGGCATCCATGACTTTTTCTTTTCTTTATCTTTATTTTTCCTTTTATTTGTCTCCTTTTTTTTTCTTTTTTTTTTCCCTTAACGTAATGTTTCGAACGCCATTATCAGGTACATACTATCTGCCTTGTTCGTACTGACATTTACACCCTTCAGCTCCCACAAGAACAGAGTATACCTGTAGATAGTCGGTCTTGCTTTCTTCGGACTGTATTCATACAACTAAATGACAGGCCTACTAGCTTGCTAGTAGCATGACACCTCCTAGGCGCCATGGGGCTTTATCCTTGAAGGCCACACGAACATCATACGACCGGCAAGCAACCAACCGCTACCGACTGACACGGTTGCCGCCTGCTGCAGGGGCGGGTGGAGAGAGCGATGGTCGGTAATCAAGTACGTAGAGGTAGTCAGTGAATCTGTGCAGGTAGCCATTCATCTTGGTGTAACTTGGTCGTTGATTGATGTTACTAGAAACTGTTACATGCAGGTATTTAGGTATGAACCGAAACCAAACAACCTATGAACGGAACAAAACAGAACAGAAAGATGGAGGCGAAGACAATATTGTTCGTATACCTACACTACGATACCTAGTAGGGTAAGTCAAAGTCGTAGGTATGCCCCTGCCCTCTTTAATTTCTTGTCACTTGTTCTCAGTCTTGCTTCTTCTTCTTCTTCTTCTTCTTCTTCTTTTCTTTTCTTCTTCTTCGTCTTCTCCTTTATCAGGACAAGTGTCAGGTAGGTACCTCTACAACTCACCTGCCGTCAGCGATTGAGATTCCATACTACAAAACGGACGGGGGCACCCAGTCTCTGATCCCGGAATACACACATTGGAAGATACCCCTGAACAGGGCAGGATTTTCGGTGAAAGGGGCAGATATCATCTCTCTGTCTCTTGTAACTCGCGCGAGTCGTGAGACGACAATGACTACCTATAGGGACGGGTGTCTGCATAGCCGGGATGCGAGTACGAAATGGAACGAAATCGATACTTATGAACCACCTCCATTGATTCAGTTGGGAGTACCACTACTATCCCCACTTATTTGACGCTTGGGTGGGACCTCGCTAGGTGGGTGACGTCTCGCTCTGTGTCTCTTCTCGGTTCGGTTACGGTGAGGAAGGGACGTTTTGGATTGCGGTGAGGAAAGAACCTTCGGTGAGGATGAAGGTTGAAGCAACCTATTGAGAGGCGGTAAGTATCCTTTGGCGCTGTTTGAACAAGTGTCAGGACATGTGCTGATCGAACAATGCATCATCCAAGAGGATATTGTAATGTCGACCGCTATGTCGAACCCCAATACCAGTTTTGGTAAACCCAGCAAGCTGTTAATTATTTCTGATCTGGAAAGCCACAACGGTGAGCCACCTAGAGGTACAAACCTCAGGCCATATTGGGCAGTGGAACATGGAATTTCATTTGGATCGCGATGACTAAGGAACTCTTTCTGGGGTTTCAGTAGGTGTAGAAACCCGCAGAAAGTTTGAGGGGCTTCGAAGGTAGTGGAATAGCTCGTGAGTTTACTACTATGGACTCACCTAGACCCAACAACCCCTTCAGAACCCTCCTTCTTTCCTGCCTGTCAGAAGGCCATGAATCAAAACCACATGTTTTCGAGTAGTACAATGATGGTGTCGTACTTGAGCACGCACACATTCATCTAGCCTAACCCTACCATGACACGAGCCAGTAAGACAAGACAAGAAAACACAAGACAGGGCACTTCGGTGTCATCAAAGGTCATTGTGAGAGACAGCCGATGACGCGCTATTCAGCCAATGGGCCAGTACAAAACAAAGGACAGAGGAAGGTACATCATCGTACAGTGTACAGCGTGCAGATTTTCACACGAGACACATGAGACTCGACCAGACCGCTTTCGCTGTTGATTAATAGACAAGTTGAACAACACTGGACGACCGGTTGCACTTTAGAGCGGAATGATGGAAAATTTGAATGAACAGAACACGGCGGTGATAAAAAGAAAAAATTTTAAAAACAGAGGAGAATGAGTGTTTGAGTCAGGCGGGCAAGCAACTGCTGAGCCTTTGACAGAACCACTCACGTGCGACTGCCGCGACAAATAAAAGGAGGAAAATCAAAGGCCGAGCTTAGGTATACAAGGGATTGTAACCACTTGTCAAGGGAGCATACTACAGTTAGCGGCATGTAATGCCCATCTCTCAAACTGCACTTCACTTGTCTCGGCCGTAAACGTGGATTAGTGGGCGGCACGACTACATTCCACTTCCCAAACGTTTAATATACGAAGTACTATTCAGCGGAGTAGACGGTCGTCTTGATGTAATTGAAGGCATCTCACGCAATATTATACCAATTGTGATTGATGGATTCACCACTTGAACTTGTGAACGCACGTAGTAGAAGCACTGCTGACCAGTGTCTTCAACGGAGTCGACAAGCTTAGCACAGAGATCCGATGGAAGACATTGGATGTTTGGTGGCAGGAATTTTAAGGCGTGAACTAATGGGGAGTGCGGTAGGACATAGGAAGAAACCATGAACACTATGGATGGTATTGCGCGCGGATAAGACAGTGAGGGAAAACAGCGTACCTAGAAGACAAATGTGAATGAGGAACTCAGGATGTCCGTATACTTGTCGTATACTTGCACCACCAAGCGTAGCTCAAGTTATGATAAAGAATAAGTGATGTGCTGGCTCCGCCGTTTCTGATGGCGTGTAATTTTGTTTCGCTTACTCGTCCAAGCGCGTGTCTGTATATGTACGAAGATTGGAGCTTTGAAAAGTCAACAAAAGCTAGCAAAATGGGTGTCTCTTGATCAAATTTTCCTAACTGTAACTCCGCATAGGCCCGCCAATTTCCTCTCTTCTCCAGAGACAAGAACGTCTCGAAACCCTCTCGAAAACGCCACTCGAACGCCTAAATAATGTCCTATCAATCTAATAAAGCACAAGATAGGAAGACCATATACAACGCGGCACACGCTTTAATCTATGAAAGTTGGGGGGCAGAGCATTTCAGGAGGGAAGAGGCCATCATCCGGAGGGCAACGTATCCGTAACATACCGCGATGTTTGTGGGCCCAAATTGCGGAATACCTCTCCTGTCCTCCAGCTCCACGCCCGACGAAATATTACGACTGTAGTATTTAAATCGACGTCGGGGCAGCATCCTTGCGCCAGCCCTTAGAACGCATGTTCCCCTCAATAGCCTTCCAGATGCTCTCCACCACCTCCCGGTCACGCCAGCGGTTTTCTGCGCCCGCCGCCGCCGGATCGCGCACCTTGTCAACGGAGGTAGCCAGAACCCGATGACCGAACGATCGCACACTTTCAGGTGGCTGCTCGCCCCGCCAGCCGACATAGATACCTAGAACATGGCGGAAGAGGTCTGTTGGTTGGCTCCAGCGGTAGTTCTTGAACTGCCACGCCTGGCCGGTTGTGAAGACAGCCACCACGCGGTTCCAGTATTCGGGCTTGAACTGCTCCGGGCCTTCGACGAGAATGAAGCGCATGGGCCGGTTAGGATCGATGTCTTTCATCATGCGCGACACGTGCAGCACCGAAATGGAGGCGTTGTGATCTGGGAGCGTGTATCTTCCGTTCTCAAGGAAGTCTCGGATGTTGGACATGCGGAGAAGTGAAGAGGCAGAGGGCGAAAGGAGAATGATGGGATCAGGTCGTCGCGCGGGCTTCTGGTTGATAGCCAGGGCAGGGTTGTTCGTGATCGCTGTAGGCCCGGGCTTCTTAGACATGAAGGCTTGCGCGAGCTTGCGAACGTGTGAGAAGTCCTGGTTGCAACGCCCGAGTTAGTTGCACTGCGATTTGCGAATCACTATCCACTTCTCTATCAAGAGATTCAACCACTCACCGTGGGCTTGATTCCCCTGAGCACACTGTTCCGATCCCCCATGCGCCGTTCGCCGTTGTAAATCTGGGCAAGCCTAGGGTCTAGTGTCCCACGCCCAGATCTCGCAGAAACAGTAGGAGCGGCCTTGGAAGCGGCTGCCGTGCTGGCAGCTCCAGTCGCGGAAGCCCCACCTGTTTCGCCTGCCAGCGGCTTGATGTATTCGCTCTCTTCACTTCCACCTTCCAGCCAGGCGATCAGCTCAAGACGCTCGACGAAGGCGAACTTGTGGACCGCGCCGGCACCGCCCAGTTCCTCGTTGAGCTTGGTAGCGGAAGCGTTATACTCGGGAATGGCGACTTCATGGTTCAACCACGCGAAATAGATACTGCGTAGGTCGACAGGGCTGCCGTTGGAGACAAAGCGCGTCGGCGCATCGATGGGGATGGCGACACGAGCTGGGTGGGTGAACAGAAGGTGAGTGGCCTGGGAGAGCGGCACTTCGGTGCTGCTGTCGGAAGAGGTATTGGCGGATGTTGTCGGGATGATGGCACTGCTGGATGCGATTGACCCCCGCAGGAGCAATAGAGGATCGTGATCGACTGACGCCATCTTGGGATTCACGCTGGGACGCTTAGCCGACTATGTAATGGTAGGCCGTGCGGGTGGATTGGTCGATGACCTCGAGGTAGGGATGACGCGCTTGACCCGATCGCTAAGAGATGTAGCGGATGTTCAATGGGGGGGCTGAAGTCGAGGATCACAAAGAAGCGATGCAAAGAGCGCAGCTTGGCGAAGAATAGCTCGAGGATGCCCAAAGCAGTTTGATCGATTGCAGGTCCGGAAATGCATGTACCTTAGGTGATGGATTCACTTGACCGGCTGGAGGTCCCTAGGTGTAGGTCTCGGACTGGACGCGGCGCGCTCCACTTCAATCCTATCTTATCGGCACAACCTGGTCCAATGTTGCAATGAAACCGTGAAACCTCAAGACCCTAACCCTTTCACTTGTTGACAGACGAGGGGCTCAAAAAAGGGGTAATAGTTGAAGCAACAAGTGACACGAGTGGGACAGGTTCCAATTACCTATCTTCTAGGCCTTCTCGCAACCTCAAGTTCATACTTTGTAAATAATCTGTCACGACTTACTAAACAGGTGAAGATTCATCACATG